TCTGACAGAGCTCCAGAGTTTCTCCGTTTCTAGTACTGAAAGCATAAGCTACAGCTAGCTAGCATTGCAGTGCATAAAAATGTGGTGAGTAGTAGACTCAAAGAGAAAGACAATAGTTTAACAGTTTTGAACAAATTCATGAGTGTATTTTGTATTAATATTTTACTTTCACTTACTTAGCTAGCAAATGCAGCTAGCTAGTTTAGCCTACTCAAACAGAGAGGTGTTATGTTAACTAGCTGACTATGACATTCCAACACTGGAACTCCTTCCAAGTCAAGGTGTTTTTGGTTTTACTAATTTATTGCCACCGGGGCCCACCGGTGTAACTGCTTACTAACTGTACACTGTACTGCATGATTGTAGTGGGTTTACTAACACGTTAGTTCTATTATCTATTTTGACTATGACGTTACTTTAGCTAATATGGTGACAACGATGTAGGATGTGTGTAGCGGTTATGATATGAAGGTTTGGTTTGGAAAGGTTTTTTCGCCTGGTCACAGACAGCTGATGTATTGTGCATTTGAAGTCCACAAGTGAAGGGAAAAGGTGAGAGGAGGAGAGCGCGTAGATGCGAGAAGGAATACAACAAGATGTTTGTATGTGGCTATGAAATTGAACTGTTTGCGTGTGATCAGGGGTGTATTCATTCCGCCGATTCTGTTGAAAAACGTTCTTAAACGGAAGCAAACAGAACGAAATTGGTATAAACATACATGAATTTGTCCAATTTGTCCAAATTTGCAACTGTTGAACTAATGATTACGCCCTAAATCAGCTAGATGCAGGGCGGTATTGAATGTGTCACTGTCGGTCACCTTAAATCTTTCTCTCTGCCTTTGTGCACCTACAGTGAGGGGAAAAAGTATTTGATCCCCTGCTGATTTTGTACGTTTGCCCACTGACAGAGAAATTATCAGTCTATAATTTTAATGGTAGGTTCATTTGAACAGTGAGAGACAGAATATCAACAAAAAAAATCCAGAAAAACGCATGTCAAAAATGTTATAAGTTGATTTGCATTTTAATGAGGGAAATAAGTATTTGACCCCCTCTCAATCAGAAAGATTTCTGGCTCCCAGGTGTCTTTTATACAGGTAACGAGCTGAGATTAGGAGAACACTCTTAAAGGGAGTGCTCCTAATCTCAGCTTGTTACCTGTATAAAAGACACCTATCCACAGAAGCAATCAATCAATCAGATTCCAAACTCTCCACCATGGCCAAGACCAAAGAGCTCTCCAAGGATGTCAGGGACAAGATTGTAGACCTACACAAGGCTGGAATGGGCTACAAGACCATCACCAAGCAGCTTGGTGAGAAGGTGACAACAGTTGGTGCGATTATTCGCAAATGGAAGAAACACAAAAGACCTGTCAATCTCCCTCGGCCTGGGGCTCCATGCAAGATCTAACCTCGTGGAGTGGCAATGATCATGAGAACGGTGAGGAATCAGCCCAGAACTACACGGGAGGATCTTGTCAATGATCTCAAGGCAGCTGGGACCATAGTCACCAAGAAAACAATTGGTAACACACAACGCCGTGAAGGACTGAAAACCTGCAGCACCCGCAAAGTCCCCCTGCTCAATAAAGCACATATACAGGGCCGTCTGAAGTTTGCCAATGAACATCTGAATGATTCACAGGAGAACTGGGTGAAAGTGTTGTGGTCAGATGAGACCAAAATCAAGCTCTTTGCCATCAACTCAACTCGCCGTGTTTGGAGGAGGAGGAATGCTGCCTATGACCCCAAGAACACCATCCCCACCGTCAAACATGGAGGTGGAAACATTATGCTTTGGGGGTGTTTTTCTGCTAAGGGGACAGGACAACTTCACCGCATCAAAGGGACGATGGACGGGGCCATGTACCGTCAAATCTTGGGTGAGAACCTCCTTTCCTCAGCCAGGGCATTGAAAATGGGTTGTGGAATGGTATTCCAGCATGACAATGACCCAAAACACAAGGCCAAGGCAACAAAGGAGTGGCTCAAGAAGAAGCACATTAAGGTCCTGGAGTGGCCTAGCCAGTCTCCAGACCTTAATCCCATAGAAAATCTGTGGAGGGAGCTGAAGGTTCGAGTTGCCAAACGTCAGCCTCAAAACCTTAATGACTTGGAGAAGATCTGCAAAGAGGAGTGGGACAAAATCCCTCCTGAGATGTGTGCAAACCTGGTGGCCAACTACAAGAAACGTCTGACCTCTGATTGCCAACAAGGGTTTTGCCACCAAGTACTAAGTCATGTTTTGCAGAGGGGTCAAATACTTATTTCCCTCCATTAAAATGCAAATCAATTTATAACATTTTTGCATTTTTCTGGATTTTTTTGTTGTTATTCTGTCTCTCACTGTTCAAATAAACCTACCATTTAAAATTACAGACTGATCATGTCTTTGTCAGTGGGCAAACCCTTTGTCAGTGGATCAAATACCTTTTTCCCTCACTGTACGTTGTAAACTTTCATTCATAGGCTAGGTTGTAGGAACCTCATGGTGGGCATAGGGAAAATGTGAGTATCATGTAGTAGCCTAAACCTATCGATGTTAGATTTAACTGGGTGATTGGATTATGAATGACAGTCATCCAATATGCTGTAATAGAAATAAGGCCATGCTCATAATTGTTTTAATCATCCTCCCTCATCTTAAACGGCACCGACCGCCACTGTTGTACAGTTTTCTCACCTTACAATATTTCATGGATTGAATATGGCAACTTTCAGGATGAATCAAACCACTGTATTGTTTTATTGACCAGTATATTTAATGCGTAAAGGCTCTCCATACCTTTTTTATTATTCATAAATACTTTCCCAACCCTAAGTAATCTACAAGATCAGAGTATTTTTTTATCTACCAATTGGTGTTGAAACGGTGATGAATATGCATATATTTAGATGTCTTTTTTTCATTGGTCGATATATTCTAGTGAGTCTGTCGAGAAAATTCAAATTATAGGTACACCTTATTTAAAGGGATGGCTTTAAATAAATGTACTGAAAACCCTATTGAATGAAAACTCCATGAGAAAATCTATTGGCCAGCAAGAGGGAGGGTTTTCAGCAGTTGAATTACATGTATTCAGTGCGCATAAGGGAGCCACACCCATAAGGTAAGTCTGAATACTAACTACTGAGAAGTGCTTAAATCAAAGCGTGTAACAAAAGCATAGATTTTCCAAGTCTGAATCGGCCCCAATGTGCAGATTAATGGGAGCTTTCTTTGGCATGCATGATATTTACAAGTCTTCATCTCCATTGATGCACACCAGCTCAACCACACTAATCAGCTTGACTGTGAATGGGTATTCAGCTCAGTTGTGTGATGTTGACCATGTGTCTCTCTTGCAGGCCATTCTGGATGTGGTGGTGAACCTCCAGTTCAGTCTAATAGAGAAGCTGTGGCAGACGTTCTGGCGCTATTCCCCCTCTGACTTAGTGGAGGGCACCACCATCACAGAAAACAGGTCAGCTCTCTCAGTTTCTCTCTCGGTTTCTCGCTCTGTTTCTCTCTCTGTTTCTCTCCCTCTCTCTTGAAGCTCAGTTCTGGTGACTTTTTAAAAGGACCTTCTACTCCAAAATGAATAAAAATAAAATTATGCTGACACCATCTAAAATATTATTTATACCTCGAGAAATGAGCCCAATATCATATCTTCAAAATTATGTGTACAAATTATTTTAACATATTGGAACATGCATATAGCCTATGCATGCTCCATATTATCAGGTATACTATTAGCAATACACATTATCACCTGTCTCGTAGACAGATCTACGTAAACATAACTAGTACCGTACAATCTGTCGGGACTGAAAGGGATGTGTAGGATAACGAGAAGCAGTAGTTCTGGTGTTTGGGTTTTTCGTCATTGGTTATTTGGACAAATCACGATTTCGCAGATGTTAGCATCTTTCAAATTTCGGAAGGGGAAGGGACATTCGGCCCATAACTTGCAAAGAGCGAGGGTGGAGATCCTCGTTCTAGCATTTCTTGATCCCTGTCTGTGTATGGACTGTCTGTGTATGGACCCAGAACTTAATCGAGCAGCTGACTTTAGTTCTGGGTTAACGCAAGACTTTAGTTCTGGGTTAACCCGAGATTAAGTTGGCCTCAACTCTGATTCTTCTTGAATGCTTCAAATATCATTTGATCAGTGGCAACGCTGAGGAGTATTTCTCTCTGCTCTGCTGACAAGTATTTTTCTCTGCTCATACAGGAGCAATAAAGGCCTAGTGCACTAATTTGGTGGGATTATTATTTGTTTTTGTTTTATTTATTCCTTCTTTTTTTTTTATCAGCACCCTCAGCACCCTTACTTCCCGCAGCAATGAATCCAGGGCAAGTGGGGCAGAGCCCCACCACTATCCAGGAGATGGCGCTGTTTTGCATGTAGTTCTAGCATTCATTCATGTCACAACAATTTGTTTTTAAAATCGTTTGAGCTAATAAAGCATAGGTGGTCGCTTCCCCTTTTGTATTGTTATTTTGGTACATTTTCTTTGAGTAAGGCAGCTCCCTAATGCAGCCGTTTCAGCCTCACTCAGTGCTCTGTTGCGGAGGGGCTAGCCAGGGCAGCCCTCGTTAATCTAGTCTGGTTGCATGCAGTTGGCTGCACATGATTGCCGCGTGCTCAAAGGTTCGGATGGGTGAGTGAATTCATTGGGACAGTGCGTGTCCCCTGTAACTACCGTAAAACTTCAATTAAACGCAGTCTCTCAAATAGCCGCTTGTCCCTTTTTTAATAGCCGGGCAACGGCACACATTTCAGCAAATAAACACCTGTTTCAAATAAACGCCTGGTCTAAATGAATTGTTTACGAGGTTACCATGAATTGTTTACAAGGTTTCATATTTGATTTGCTACATAAAATAATTCAGTAATGACTCTAACTCCATCCCCCCACAGTAGGCCTAGTGAGATGTAGGTGAATCTGATCAAATCAAATGTATTGGTCACATACACATGGTTAGCAGATCCAGTATATAAGACGAGTATGTGTAACTTTGAACCCTGTCTCCACAGTGGTGTGAGTGAGATTGAGGGCCGTCTGCCCTGCTCCAGGCTGGTGGTGCTCTGTAGGAACGAGGCTGTGCTCAAGTGGATGAGTTCCTGTGACCACCTGATGTACCAGGCCCTAGTGGAGATCCTCATCCCTGATGTCCTCAGACCCATCCCCAGTGAGTGGCTGACACACACAGTCACACACACACACTTTCTCGCTCATCCCTAGTTGGGTATCAGAATTTAAATTGTGATCTTTATATAGACTGCTGTCCTCTGTATCTGTCCCTCTAGGTGCCTTGACTCAAGCCATCCGCAACTTTGCCAAAAGCCTGGAAGGCTGGCTCAACAATGCCATGAACGTCATTCCACAGAGAATGATCCAGACCAAGGTACAGACACTCTCTCTCTCTCTAACACACACATTCACTCACTCACTCACTCACTCACTCACTTACACAAATATTGGCAAATAAACTTACATTGGCTCTTTTTATTTTCTTTGATCCTGACTTCCTCTCTTTCCTCTCTTTTATCTGTTCTGACTGGTCTTGGTCTGATTTTAATTGGCTGCTGTTTGATCCTCTGTGTGTTTGATTGGCTGCAGGTTGCCGCTGTTAGTGCCTTTGCTCAGACAATGCGTCGTTACACTAGTCTGAACCACCTGGCCCAGGCAGCCCGGGCCGTGCTGCAGAACACCTCCCAGATCAATCAGATGCTCAGCGACCTCAACCGCGTCGACTTCGCCAACGTGCAGGTCCGTCTGTCCCTCTGGCTGGCTGTCCGTCTGCCTGTCCCTCCATCTGGCTGGCTGTGGTTTGGTCTGACTGTCTGTATTTAGTTACAGAGGGACACATTGGTCCATTGTATAGCCATCTGTCATTATCTCTTTGTCCTCTCTCTGCTTGAAGTTGCTGTTTATTTCATCGGGGAGTGCGTGTGCATCTGTTTTTGCATGTTTGTTTGTGTTACCCCACACTGACCCGTCCTCTCTCTCGCTCTCTCTCTCGCTCTCTCTCTCTCTCTCTCTTTAGGAGCAGGCGTCATGGGTGTGTCAGTGTGAAGAGGGCGTGGTGCAGCGGTTAGAGCAGGACTTCAAGGCCACCCTGCAGCAGCAGAGCTCTCTGGAGCAGTGGGCTGCCTGGCTGGACAACGTGGTCACCCAAGTCCTACAGCCCTTCGAGGACCGGCCCAGCTTCCCCAGGGCTGCACGACAGTTCCTGCTCAAGTGGTCCTTCTACAGGTCAGCTACTGTACCGTCCATAGAAATAGAATGAGATCATAGAAATTGAATGGGTACAATAGAATTAATCCTAATTTTATGGTAAAAAAATTTATACAATTATTGTCACACACCGGATAGGTGCAGTGAAATGTGTTGTTTTGGTATGCACCACACAGAAATCATACACAACAGAAATACAACGTACACACTTAACCAAATAATAAGGGAGCAATTTAAGTAGTGTGTTGTGAGATTTATTGTTTATCATATCAATTGATATGGTTTGATTGATTTGTCCGCTTATTAGCAGTTTTCCAGTGGTTGGTGATCTCTTGTTGTCGATCTCTTTGTCAGCTCCATGGTGATTCGGGACCTGACTCTGCGCAGCGCGGCCAGTTTCGGCTCGTTCCACCTGATCCGCCTGCTCTACGACGAGTACATGTTCTACCTGGTGGAACACCGCGTCGCCCAGGCAACCTGCGAGACGCCCATCGGTGTCATGGGAGAAGTAAGGCCCTGATGAAAACAAAACACACACCACACACACGCACATAATTGTAATGTTCCCATTACTCCTTGGCTCAGTCTCAGTATGGTTTATTTGTGCTTCTTAATGTATTGCAGTTCGATGACCTCAACGCCATGTCGCCTGCTTACATGGACAAAGGTAAGCTAACACCAAGCTGTGTCTACAGGCTAGGTCTCTGTAGGTTTCTGGTTCTACATTGCATGGGGTTATTAAGCTCTTTGAAGCCATGTCCGTTCAGCATTGCTGTGCGTCATTCTTCTTTTGTTATGCGTCGTACCTCCATCTACATTCATCTCAACGTGCGGCCACTTAGAGAATAGCGGTTTCAATTATTACCCATTCACACATTTTATGGTCAGTTGCAGTCCAGAGGCTATTTGATCATTTCGCATTTTTGTAAGGTTACATACAGTGAGGGAAAAAAGTATTTGATCCCCTGCTGATTTTGTACGTTTGCCCACTGACAAAGAAATGTTCAGTCTTTAATGGTAGGTTTATTTGAACAGTGAGAGACAGAATAACAACAACAAAAATCCAGAAAAATACATGTAAAAAATGTTAGAAATTGATTTGCATTTTAATGTGGGAAATAAGTATTTGACCCCTCTGCAAAACATGACTTAGTACTTGGTGGCAAAACCCTTGTTGGCAATCACAGAGGTCAGACATTTCTTGTAGTTGGCCACCAGCCTCTTTGCAGATCTTCTCCAAGTCATTAAGGTTTCGAGGCTGACGTTTGGCAACTCGAACCTTCAGCTCCCTCCACAGATTCTCTATGGGTTTAAGGTCTGGAGACTGGCTAGGCCACTCCAGGGCCTTAATGTGCTTCTTCTTGAGCCACTCTTTTGTTGCCTTGGCCGTGTGTTTTGGGTCATTGTCATGCTGGGATAGCCATCCACGACTATTTTCAATGCCCTGGCTGAGGGAAGGAGGTTCTCACCCAAGATTTGACGGTACATGGCCCCGTCCATCGTCCCTTTGATGCGGTGAAGTTGTCCTGTCCCCTTAGCAGAAAAACACCCCCAAAGCATAATGTTTCCACCTGCATGTTTGACGGTGGGGATGGTGTTCTTGGGGTCATAGGCAGCATTCCTCCTCCTCCAAACACGGCAAGTTGAGTTGATGCAAAAGAGCTCAATTTTGGTCTGATCTGACCACAACACTTTCACCCATTTCTCCTCTGAATCATTCAGATGTTCATTGGCAAACTTCAGACGGGCATGTATATGTGCTTTCTTGAGCAGGGGTACCTTGCGGGCGCTGCAGGATTTCAGTCCTTCACGGCGTAGTGTGTTACCAATTGTTTTCTTGGTGACTATGGTCCCAGCTGCCTTGAGATCATTGACAAGATCCTCCCGTGTAGTTCTGGGCTGATTCCTCACCGTTCTCATGATCATTGCAACTCCACAAGGTGAGTCCTTGCATGGAGCCCCAGGCCGAGGGAGATTGACAGTGCTTTTTTGTTTCTTCCATTTGCGAATAATCGCACCAACTGTTGTCGGTCTTGTGGCCCATTCCAGCCTTGTGTAGGTCTACAATCTTGTCCCTGACATCCTTGGAGAGCTCTTTGGTCTTGGCCATGGTGGAGAGTTTGGAATCTGATTGATTGATTGCTTCTGTGGACAGGTGTCTTTTATACAGGTAACAAGCTGAGATTAGGAGCACTCCCTTTAAGAGTGTGCTCCTAATCTCAGCTCGTTACCTGTATAAAAGACACCTGGGAGCCAGAAATCTTTCTGATTGAGAGGGGGTCAAATATTTATTTCCCTCATTAAAATGCAAATCAATTTATAACATTTTTGACATGCGTTTTTCTGGATTTTTTTGTTGTTATTCTGTCTCTCACTGTTCAAATAAACCTACCATTAAAATTATAGACTGATCATTTCTTTGTCAGTGGGCAAACGTACAAAATCAGCAGGGGATCAAATACTTTTTTCCCTCACTGTATAATACTAAGATGTTCATAAGAAAAGGTTAGGACCATTTATTAAACAGCTGTTTTTTTGTGTGCAGCCTTGCCTAAACACCAGACTTTTACCATGGTTACTCCATGAATATCAGTCTGAAAGAAGTCGCTGTAAAAAATATGCAATCGTCTCTACAAGGCAGAATGTTGAATAAAATGATATTTACACTTACTTTACCGGTTGTACATGCTGTTGGTCCTTTTGGCAGTAGGAGGTGGCAAAAAGGTATCCACAGGAAAGGGTTGTTTACCTGACTTTTTGTGGTGCCTGTCGTTTCTTTCACTTGTATTTTCAATCTGTTGATGCATTGCACGTGAATCACAATATTTAAACAATAGCTGAATGTAACCGAATGTAGTCGACCGAAGCACGTTTCCTCGCAATCAGCTAGTAGTGTTTGCTGTTCGGTTAGGCTCAGCCATATTGTGCAAGTGTTTGTCACATGCAAATTGCATCAATATTGAAAATAAAAACCGGAAATACAAATGATATACAGACAGCATACTGAAGGTCGGGTTGATAACACTACTCTGTAGATATTTTGTCTCACAAAAGTATGTGGACACCTGCTCGTCGGACATCTCATTCAAAATCATGGGCATTAATATGGAGTTGGTCCCCCCTTTGCTGCTATAACAGCCTCCACTCTTCTGGGAAGGCTTTCCACTAGATGTTGGAACATTGCTGTGGGGACTTGCTTCCATTCAGCAACGAGCATTAGTGAGGTCGGGCACTGATGTTGGACGATTAGGCCTGGCTCACAGTCGGCGTTCCAATTCATCCCAAAGGTGTTTGATGGGGTTGAGCTCAGGGCTCTGTGTAGGCCAGTCAAGTTCTGCCACACCGATCTCGACAAACCATTTCTGTATGGACCTCGCTTTGTACATGGGGGCATTGTCATACAGGAACGGGCCTTCCCCAAACTGTTGCCACAAAGTTGGAAGCACAGAATCGTCTAGAATGTAATTGTATGCTGTAGCGTTAAGATTTCCCTTCACTGGAACTAAGGGGCCTAGCCCGAACCATGAAAAACAGCCCCAGACCATTATTCCTCATGAACCAAACTTTACAGTTGGCACTATGCATTGGGGACTGCCAGATGGTGAAGCGTGAATCATCACTCCAGAGAACGCGTTTCCATTGCTCCGGAGTCCAATGGCCGTGAGCTTTTCACCACACCAGCCGACATTTGGCATTGCGCGTGGTGAGGCTTGTGTGTGGCTGCTCGGCCATGGAAACCCGTTTCATGAATCTCCCGACAAACAGTTATTGAGCTGATGTTGCTTCCAGTCGTAGTTTGGAACTCGGTAGTGAGTGTTGCAACCAAGGACAGACAAGTTTTACGCGCTTCAGCACTTGGCAGTCCCGTTCTGTGAGCTTGTGTGGCCTACCACTTCGTGGCTGAGCCGTTGTTGCTCCTAGACGTTTCCACTTCACAATAACAGCACTTACAGTTGACCGGGGCAGCTCTAGCAGGGCAGAAATTTGACGAACTGACTTGTTGGAAAGGTGGCATCCTATGACGGTGCCACGTTGAAAGTCACTGAGCTCTTCAGTGAGGCCATTCTACTACCAATGTTGATATGGAGATTGCATGGATGTGTGCTCGATTTTATACACCTGTCAGGAACGGGTGTAGCTGAAATCCAATCCAATCAAATCAAGCTTTATTTATACAGCACTTTTCAGACATGGAACGCAACGCAATGGGCTTTACAGGGAAAAAACTAATAAAAAAACTAATAAATATTTACTACCCAACAAACATAAGATAAAAAACAAAAGAATGACACAAACTGAACAACTAAAAAGCACCCTGAGGAAAAGCAAAGCTAAAAATATGTGTTTTAAGATCTCTTCTAAATATGTCTACAGTTTCGGCCCCCCTCAGGTTCTCTGGCAGGCTATTCCAGAGGCTGGGGGCATAATAACTAAAGGCTGCCTCTCCATGCCTCTTGGTCCTAGGCTTTGGGATAGTTAAAAGGCCAGTGCCAGAGGACCTGAGGGACCTACTGGGTACATAACTTAAAAGCATGTCTGACATGTATTGGGGTGCACAATCGTGGATTGATTTAAAAACCAATAGAAGAGACCTTAAAACCGGTGTAATGTGTGCTCTCCGTCTGGTCTTGGTCAGTACCCGTGCTGCAGCATTCTGTATGTTTTGCAGTTGACCAATGGCTTTCTTAGGTAGACCAGCTAAAATCCTCACGTGACACAAAATGTAAAGTTGTGTATCGTCTGCGTAGCAGTGAAAGTCAATGCTGTGCTTTCTGATAACGCTGCCAAGGGATAACGTACAGTACCAGTCAAAAGTTTTAGAACACCTACTCATTCAAGGTTTTTTCTTTATTTTTACTATTTTCTACATTGTAGAATAATAGTGAAGACATCAAAACAATGAAATAACACATATGGAATCATGTAGTAACAAATCAAAATATATTTTATATTTGAGATTCTTCAAATAGCCACCCTTTGCCTTGAGGACAGCTTTGCACGCTCTTGGCATTCTCTCAACCAGCTTCACCTGGAATGCTTTTCCAACAGTCTTGAAGGAGTTCCCACATATGCTGAGCACTTGTTGGCTGCTTTTCCTTCACTCCGTGGTCCGACTCATCCCAAACCATCTAAATTTGGTTGAGGTCGGGGGATTGTGGAGGCCAGGTCATCTGATGCAGCACTCCATCACTCTCCTTCTTGGTAGAATAGCCCTTACACAGCCTGGAGGTGTGTTGGGTCATTGTCCTGTTGAAAAACAAATGATAGTCCCACTAAGCCCAAACCAGATGGGATGGCATATCGCTGCAGAATGCTGTGGTAGCCATGCTGGTTAAGTGTGCCTTGAATTCTAAATAAATCACAGACAGTGTCACCAGCAAAGCACCCCCACACCATAACACCTCCTCCTCCATGCTTTACGGTGGGAAATACACATGCAGAGATCATCCGTTTACCCACACCGCGTCTCACAAAGACACAGCGGTTGGAACCAAAAATCTCAAATTTGGACTCCAAACCAAAGGACAAATTTCCACTGGTCTAATGTCCATTGCTTGTGTTTCTTGGCCCAAGCAAGTCTCTTCTTCTTATTGGTGTCCTTTAGTAGTGGTTTCTTTGCAGCAATTCGAGCATGAAGGCCTGATTCACACAGTCTCCTCTGAACAGTTGATGGTGAGATGTGTCTTTTACTTGAACTCTGTGAAGCATTTATTTGGGCTGCAATTTCTGAGGCTGGTAACTCTAATGAACTTATCCTCTGCAGCAGAGGTAACTCTGGGTCTTCCATTCCTGTGGTGGTCCTCATGAGAGCCAGTTTCATCATAGCACTTGATGGTTTTTGCGACTGCACTTGAAGAAACTTTCAAAGTTCTTGAGATTTTCCAGATTGAATGACCTTCATGTCTTAAAGTAATGATTGACTGTCGTTTGTCTTTGCTTATTTGAGCTGTTCTAGCCATAATATGGACTTGGTCTTTTACCAAATAGGGCTATCTTCTGTATACCCCCTACCTTGTCACAACACAACTGATTGGCTCAAACGCATTAAGAAGGAAAGACATTGCACAAATTAACTTATAAAAAAGGCACACCTGTTAATTGAAACGCATTTCAGGTGACTACCTCATGAAGCTGGTTGAGAGAATGCCAAGAGTGTGCAAAGCTGTCATCAAGGCAAAGGGTGGATATATAAAGAATCTCAAATAGAAAATATATTTTGATTTATTTAACACTTTTTTGGTTACTATTCCATGTGTTATTTCATAGTTTTGATGTCTTCACTATTATTCTACAATGTAGAAAATAGTTTTAAAAAATAAGAAAAACCCTTGAATGAGTAGGTGCTCTAAAACGTTTGACCGGTAGTGTATAAACTGAATAGTACCGGACCCAAAATCAAACCTTCACCACATGTGATATGTATTTTCTCTGAGTCATGTTCACCAAGGGTGACAAAAACCTCTCGACCGGTTAAATGGGTCTTAAACCAATTTAGAACGGGACCGGCGAGGCCAACCCACCTCTCCAGTCTGTCCAGAAAGACATCATGGTCAACCGTGTCGAATGCAGCACTTAAATCTAAGAGTACAAGGACAGAGAACTGTTTGGCATCTGTGTTGGCTCCAATATCATTTACCACTTTAACTAAGGCTTTCTCTGTGCTGTGGTGGGCACGAAAACCAGATTGGAATTTTTCAGTGGTAATACAGTTTGCACTTTAAAAAATCCTTTAAAAAATTGCTAAGAGCTGAAGATTCTAAATTACTTTTCTTCAGAAGGGGTTTCACCAAAGCAGTTTTTAGTGCAGTAAGGAAAGTACCTGTGAACAGGGAGTGATTAACAATAGCTTGCACTTCTTCAGATATGCAATTAAAAACTGTTTTGAAGAAGGTGGTGGGGATAGGATCGAGAAGGCAGGTAGAAGGCTTAAATTGTGATATCACTTTCCTGCGCATGTCTGTGTCAACCAGGGAAAATAAATCCATAGTGTCTTTCTGTGGTAGGCTAGGGCACATATCATCAGACTTCTCATCAGGTCTTGCTTGACTGATACCCAGCCCAATGTTGGTTATCTTATGTCTGAAATATGCCGCAAACTCATCACATTTAGATGTGGAGGAAAGTTCACATAGGTTTGCGGGGGTAGGATTTATCAGGCCATCAATTGTCGAGAAGAACACTCTCGAATTATTCTGATTTTAATAGTGATCAAGTTAGAAAAATGAGCCCGTCTGGCATTTCTAATTGCCTTGTTAAACAGTACCAGTCAAGAGTTTGGACACACCTACTCATTCAAGGGTTTTTCTTTCTTTTTACCATTTTCTACATTGTAGAATAATAGTGAAGACATCAAAACTATGAAATAACACATATGGAATCATGAAGTCACCATAAAACTGTTAAACAAATCAAAATATATTTTAGATTTTAGATTCTTCAAAGTAGCCACCCTTTGCCTTTATGACAGCTTTGCACACTCTTGGCATTCTCTCAACCAGCTTCAGCTGGAATGCTTTTCCAACAGTCTTGAAGGAGTTCCCACATATGCTGAGTACTTGTTGGCTGCTTTTCCTTGCCTCTGCAGTCCAACTCATCCAAAACCATCTCAATTGGGTTGAGGTCGGGTGATTGTGGAGGCCAGGTCATCTGATGCAGCACTCCATCACTCTCCTTCTTGGTCAAATAGCCCTTACACAGCCTGGAGGTGTGCTTTGGGTCATTGTCCTGTTGAAAAACAAATGATAGTCCCACTAAGTGCAAACCAGATAGGATGGCGTATCGGTGCAGAATGGTGTGGTAGCCATGCTGGTTAAGTGTGCCTTGAATTCTAAATAAATCACAAACAGTGTCACCAGCAAAGCACCCCCACACCACCTCCTCCATGCTTCACAGTGGGAACCACACATACAGAGATCATCCGTTCACCTACTCTGCGTCTCACAAAGACACGGCGGTTGGAACCAAAAATCTCAAATTTTGACTCATTAGACCAAAGGATTTCCACCGGTCTAATGTCCATTGCTCGTGTTTCTTGGCCCAAGCAAGTCTCTTCTTATTATTGGTGTCCTTTAGTAGTGGTTTCTTTGCAGCGATTCGACCATAAAGGCCTGATTCACGTAGTCTCCTCTGAACAGTTGATGTTGAGATGTGTCTGTTACTTGAACTCTGTGAAGCATTTATTTGGGCTGCAATCTGAGGTGCAGTTATCTCTGCTGCAGAGGATAAGTTCATTAGAGTTAACTCTGGGTCTTCCTTTCTTGTGGCAGTCCTCATGAGAGCCAGTTTCATCATAGCGCTTGATGGTTTTTGAGCATGCACTTGAAGAAACTTTCAAAGTTCTTGAAAGTTTCCGGATTGACTGACCTTCATGTCTTAAAGTAACGATGGACTGTCGTTTCTCTTTGCTTATTTGAGCTGTTCTTGTCATAATATGGACTTGGTGTTTTACCAAATAGGGCTATCTTCTGTATACCACCCCTACCTTGTCACAACACAACTGATTGGCTCAAACACATTAAGAAGGAAAGACATTGCACAAATTCACTTTTAAGAAGGCACACCTGTTAATTGAAATGCAATTCAGGTGACTACCCCATGAAGCTGGTTGAGAGAATGCCAAGAGTGCAAAGCTGTCATCAAGGCTACTTTGAAGAATCTCAAATATGAAATATATTCTGATTTGTTTAACACATTTTGTTACTACATGATTCCATATGTGTTATTTCATAGTTTTGATGTCTTCACTATTATTCTACAATGTAGAAAATAGTCAAAATAAAGAAAAACCCTGGATTGATTTGGTGTGTCCAAACTTTTGACTGGTAGTGTATATGCCAACTTGTTCTCTCAGAATATCATAATGGACCTGCAACTTTTACTTTCACCACTTCCGCTCTGCCTTTCTGCAATTTCTCTTTAATTGATTAGTTTCCTCACTCATCCAACGGGCTCTGCGTTTGGATGTGGCCTTTTACAACTTTACTGGACCTATGGGCATCAATGGTTGCCCTACATTTAAGTTAAAGCTATCAACTAAATCATCACAAGAGAAAGGCAGAATAGGTGGTGGAGTATTGTTCATACACTCAATAAAATCTGTAGCAACTTCAGAGATAAGATAGCGTTTCTTAATAATGCATTCAGTATTACCCTGTGCTTTGGGCAACAAGGTAGTAAAAAATACACAGTGGTGATCAGATAAAGCCACATCAACAATAGAGGATATGTCAATAGAAAGCCCCTTGGTAATAACCAGGTATGGCCGCGGTTATGGGTGGGCACAGTAACATGTTGGTCTATAGAGCTCAAACGATTCATAAATTCCATGGCCTTGGAGTCAGTCTCTTTGTCAACATGAATATTAAAATCGCCCATCACAATGATTTTATCATAGTTCTCAAGGACAATAGACAATAGTTCAGATAAATCAGTAAAAAAAGTGGGGCAGTGCTTTGGTGGCCTATACAGGGTTATGGCCAGCACTGGTGGCTGACATTTAAACAGTATAGCATGATGCTCAAAAGACCCAAAGTCGCCAAACGAAATGTCCTTACAGCTGAGAGCTTTAGTAAAAATAGAGGCTGTCCCCCTGCCATTTTTCTCTTTTCTGATGGAGTATGAAAAGCTGTAGTCCGAGGGGGAGGCTTCAATAAGAGCGGCACTACAGTCTGATGACAGCCATGTTTCAGTGAGAAACATGCAATCAACTTTCCGCTCAGTAATGAGGTCATTTACAAGAAAGGTTTTACTTGTGAACATTTAAAAGCGCCATATTCAATGAGTGTGGGCCACTCTGCCCCTGGGGCATCTGCCTCGAGGTAACCAGTGGAATAATAACCAAATTATTAACATTACAACCACGTTTTCTGACAGTCTTCAATCGATCAGAATGGTAGGAGATAAGTTTGTATAAACTCACTAGAAGAAACATAAATTAGGTTACTCACAATAACCATAGTGCCATTTCAACAGGGGTTTATATGCTTTCCAAGTCCTCTGTTGCTTATTCTGACAGGGAGAACTGGAGCACTACCAGACCCTGTCCGTCAGTCTCTAAAACAGTTTGCGATGTTGCTCGAAATAATCCTGGAACCCCTGCGGTTAGGGTGAATCCCATCTCTTTTAAAAAAGTGCTGGTTGCTCACACAGCAAATCAAAGTTGTCACAAAAAGAGACATTCCTGTCATTGGAAAGTTTCTTGAAGTACTCGTTCAGGGCAAAGAGTCGGCTGAAACGTTCTGAACCCCTTTGGTAGCACGGGAGGGGGCCAGATATAATGATTCTCTTCTACGTGCTAGCAAGGGTGTTTAAAACATGTTTGTAGTCCTGGCTCAGTTCCGAATCCACTAATTTGAAGAGGTGTTCACATACATTTGTGTATATATAGTGTACCTGCAAAAGGACCAACTACTCAGACAACCGGTTAAGTATCATTTTATTCAGCATTCTGGCTTGTAGAGGTCGTGAGTTGAAACTTTCCTGATCCAAATGCTAATTTCTGCCCAACGTAGAATTCTATGCAATTCAACGACGGGTCTTCAGGCTATCAGCCTTTCCTGCAAACACAATGGTCCAGCATTACTAATGAGAATCCTGAAGAGTCAGCATTGTATCTGTCTATCTGTCTTTTTGTCTACCTGTCTGTCTGATTGACTGACCCTGTACCCCTGTCTGTGTTTCCAGACGAGGTGAGTGAGATGGACAGTGACCTGGAGGAGGACATGGAGGAGTCTGGGGAGCCGCTGGCCAAGCGGGAGAAGGCTGAGTTGCAGCATGAGCACGAGGTGATCCAGGTGGGGGCTCTGGAGGACGGCAGTAATCCAGTGGTGGGGGTGGTCCAGCCGGGCATCCTGCACTCCCTGCCCCATCCCCCCCAGGACCACGCTGAGCACATCCTCACCCCCTCTGCCGCCACCCCCACAATCCGCCGATGCAGCGCCACCGGCAACACCTACGCCTCAGTCTGAAGAGAGAGAGATGCCCACCCTCCATCTGAAGAGAGGAAGACGCCCACAAATCTATTTTCTCTTGATCTGTCTGTCTCTCTCTCTCTCTCTCTCCTTGTTTCTATCGATCTCGCTGTCACACACACGTCTGCACTGTTTCCCTCTGTCATGCGTTGTGTTTTCTCTGCTCTCCTCCACCCCGGCCAATAGAGGACGATGAAAATCACCATGTCCACAGCCGCTGGCGTCACACAAACAGTGGATCGATGAAGAGAGCTAGACGTGAATAGGAATCTACTGGGGAGAGTCATGTGTACAGGCTGCCTCTGTCTGCTGTTGTCCCATGTGTCTGTCCTCAGGGAGGGGTTGCTGGGTGAGGAAGGAGGATTGGAAGTGGGGGGGGGGGGGGGGTGATGTGACCAATGAGATGCTGCCATTTACAGACTTGAGACACTGACTGACCCTAGCTGTGTAGATGGGAGGGTATATATTTACTTATGTCTCAAAGCTCAAATCATGAGATGATATACGTTCTTATAGAGAAAGCATTGACACATTCCAGTTAAGGACAGAATTCAGTTGAACGATATGAGATTTTTGACTTTTTTGTATATTTCAAAGCTTTGTTTAGATATGACATTTTGTGAAGTATGATTGCTTGTAATGTGACAGTTGTTTTGCGTTCTATGATTTATTGAATAGTGTATAATCGTAGCCATGATCCCCTGATAACCACTAATGGCTTATAGCCATGAAGGAAGTTCTGCCCAAGAAGAAAGACATACTCTTATGTGTGCTGCTACTGTATAGAAATATGAGGTAAGACAGACAGACAGACAGACAGACAGACAGACAGGATGTACTATACCACTACAACATTAGCTTTTCTACGCACTTCATGCATTGGTTTGGTTGGATTTAGATGCTGGATAGTGTGATAAAATGTAAAGACTCGTATAATCTACTGACATGTTCTCAGTGTGTGTGTGTTTTTGTAGTTTCTATCTTGGTAGATTTCTTAAGTTGTGAATGGACCAAAAACAAACCAACCAGAGGAAACTGGCAGAGAGTGAGAGCCATCATGGCCGCCACAGTGGTCACGGCGAGGCTGCTGTCCAATTTCCTGTCCCAACAGTGCTGTGGTTGGTGTTGCAGAGCAGACTGAATGTCAGGGATTCTATGTACCTCGGCTTCATCGTAGTGCCTTAATAACCCTTACTGCAGCTGTCGATGTAGTCCTGACTCCTGACTGATTGTGTGGTTGTGGGGAGGAATAGCACATTCTGCATTAATGTCCCAGCCACAGCTTTGGCTCTCTCTGGTGACTTGTGGCTGGATTTGGGCTGGCTCATCGGTGTTACTGAAGGCTGGGGAGGTGCAGGTTCAGAGGTGCTTGTTGTTTTCTCTGGATTGTGCTGGTTCTATTACGTTTGTTTTGTTTGTTCGGTACCCCGATGTGGGTGTGTTGCCTCGTTCCTGCTCTCACTCTCTCAAGGCCTGCTCCTGCTTTGGCCTCTGCTATTGGGTGAAATGTGCGTGTGCCGATGTGAGGACTTGACTTGAGATTGTGGTTTGTGCGTGCTATTGTTGTGTGTGGATGAATGAGTCAGAGCGTGTGTTTGAGCACACCCACTAGTCACCCTACCTCACACCAGCGGTGCCAGCCTTTTAACACATGCAGCACGTCACCAAACCTTGTTCTCACACACATACGTAACCCTACTACTCCTACGACACACCACGATAACACTATACATGCCTCTCACACTACACACAGCTGAAATACACATTCTAATTTTAGCCCCTTCAGTTTTTAGTCCACAATATCCTCATTCCTTATGCTATCTGTTCTAAAGTGCATATTTGTATAGTGGACCAAAAGTAGATATTTTCGGATATTTAAAAATATATATAAGGATGATAGAATACGTATGTATTCATTTTTGTTTGTTTTGTTTTTCATGTGGTTGATCTGTCATCTGTGGTTGTTTCTTTGGTAGCTAGCTCTTCTGTGATTGACACATTTTGTACTTGAACTGTTATTGATAGCTTTTAGGAAATGGAGAACACGCAGGCAAAAGGTGTTGAACTGGAAGAATCTTGTTGTTGATACTACTGAAATTACTTTTCTGTTTTTTGTTTTTTAACACTCATATCTGGAGAGCTGTATGCACCAATGCTTTGCCTAGACTTTATTTATTGGTATTTATTGTGCTTTTGTTTTACTATTTGAGAAGTTATTCTAAAGTTATGCACATGTATCCATACCAGTCTTGAAAACGAAATTACACTATATATACAAAAGTATGTGGACACCCCTTCAAATGAGTGGATTCAGCCATTTCAGCCACACCTGTTGCTTACAAGTGTATAAAATAGAGCACACACACAGACAAACATTGGCAGTAGAATGGCCTCACTGAAGAGCTCAGTGACTTTCAACGTGGCACCGTCATAGGATGCCACCTTTCCAACAAGTCAGTTCGTCAAATTTCTGCCCTGCTAGAGCTGCCCCGGTCAACTGTAAGTGCTGTTATTGTGAAGTGGAAATGTTTAGGAGTAACAACGGCTCAGCTGTGAAGTGGTAGGCCACACAAGCTCACAGAATGGGACCGCTGAGTGCTGAAGCGCGTAGCGCGTAAAAATAGTCTGTCCTCGGATGCAACACTCACTAACAAGTTCCAAACTGCCTCTGGAAGCCACGTCAGCACAAGAACCGTTCGTCGGGAGCTTCATGAAATGGGTTTCCATGGCCGAACAGCCGCACACAAGCCTAAGATCACCATGCGCAATGCCAAGCGTCAGCTGGAGTGGTGTAAAGCTCACCGCCATTGGACTCTGGAGCAGTGGAAACGTGTTCTCTGGGGTGATGAATCACGCTTCACCATCCGGCAGTCCGACGGACAAATCTGGGTTTGGTGGATGCCAGGACAATTTGGTGGAGGAGGAATAACAGTCAGGGGCTGTTTTTCATGGTCGGGCTAGGCCCCTTAGTTCCAGTGAAGGAAAATGTTTATGCTACAGCATACAATGACATTCTAGACTATTCTGTGCTTCCAACTTTGTGGCAACAGTTTGGGGAAGGCCCTTTCCTGTTTCAGCATGACAAGGCCCCCGTGCACAAAGCAAGGTCCATACAGAAATGGTTTGTCGAGATCGGTATGGAAGAACTTGACTGGGCTGCACAGACCCTGACCTCAACCCCATCGAACACCTTTGGGATGAATTGAAACGTTGACTGCGAGCCAGGCCTAATCGCCCAACATCAGTGCCCGACGTCACTAATGTTCTTGTGGCTGAATGGAAGCAAGTCCCTGCAGCAATGTTCCAACATCTAGTGGAAAGCCTTCCCAGAAGAGTGGAGGCTGTTATAGCAGCAAAGGGGTGACCAACTCCATATTAATGATTTTGGAATGAGATGTTCGACGAGCAGGTGTCCACATACTTTTGGTCTTGTAGTGTATGACTTCTGAAGAATTTTACTGCTGAGAAACAAAATGTACCTGCAAAAGGATTGGAAATGTATGTTTTCAGAGGATCATGGATTTATTTGATAAACTACATTTTCTTTAGATGTATATGATACTTAGCAGATCATGCTTGTGTGATTTACTTTATGAGAAAGGGCCATTCTACTGATAATGCCTTTTACTAGTTCACTGAAGATAAAGTGCATTCACTTTAGACTTAAAAGGTAATCGACCTTGCTTACAGGTAATTGAAGGCTTTGGGCATTTGTTTACATGTCAAACTGACCACACAGAAATTACAAGATCTTACTCAATCTGACTGTACAGTCACCTAACATGTCGTTAGAGATGACTCTTGAACTTTGAACCTTGACCTTTTTGTCCTGAAAATATTGAAGATGTTAAGGTTAATTGTGTATTCATTTGTGCCTGGAGTGCAAACAGCTTACAGATGTGCTTTAGAATCTTGAAAGTGCTTTTTTTGGTCTTGCATGCCTTTTTGTGCTGCTAGAATCTATTGGTTTGTCTACTTTGTTTTTTAGTTTTCTTTGGAATATGTGCCAGATAGTAAATGCTGTATTCACTCTGCAACCTCATCAAACCTGCCTGTTTCAAAACTGGACTCAAGCCAATTCTGTCAACACAAATTCTGTTTTAATCATAGATAACCATTCACAAAAAGTAATACGTTGATATTTGTTTGAAACAAAAAATATTCTAGGGCCTTCCCCATTGTCTTATGTCACTGATGGCTCCTGGCAACGCGTGTGGCGTTAAAATGACGCCATCTGTCGGAAGACAATGGGGCCTTCCCTTTTTAGTTTCTTGATAATTGAGCCCATTTCTAACCTAAAAGGTTAGATACAGCAACTACAACAACAAACTGAAAAGAAAACAATCTTGACATCCTGAAAAACATATCAGCAACTCTCAAGCTGTCAGTTGGAATGGGTGAGAATACGGCAGCTTCACTGATCCACAAGAGACTCCAGTGCCTTTAATTTCACCCAGACAGGTGGGCCTACGTCTCTGGTTTGACTCCATGGTTCCAGATACAGGCTCTTTAGAGCAGACTTTATGGAAGAGTGGCTGCTCACATGGAGAGAAATGGGCCTAAGGCATCGTACAGTCCTACCCTTAATCCTGACCTTATCCAACTGACTACTGGTCAACTGTCACTGACCAATGACCAAACATGACAGTTCACACTGGGTGGGGCTTTCTCCACATATTTGCTGTTGAATGGCGCTTTAGGAGAGAACTACTACAGATTTATGTTATCATTAAACTAAGAGAAAGATTAGACTACTACTGGACTGGGATATTTGCCAATGGCACTATCATTGTCGCCATGATCATTTCCTTTTGTTATATGATATTCACTGATTGCTGTATGGTTGCTTTATTCAGTTTGATTTTGAATATTTTCTTGATCTATTTTAAGTGCCATTTGACAGTGTAGTGAGTTTTGGCCCGCTGTAGCACGCTCTAATGCAAGCACAAGCATTTGGCAGTGGATACTGGGGAAACCTTTTAGTTGAAAACCCCCCAGATGTAACCAATATGTAAATATAGACAAAATTGGAAGAAAGGATATTTATTTGTCTCTTAAATATTAGTTTTGTTGTTTTTGGATGAGTTTTATTTCATCTGATATGTTGGCAAAAGTACTTTGTGATTTCTCTTTTCCTTGTTTTGGATAATGTATTGTATTTATGTATATATACATATCATGTGACTTTCTTTTTGTGTTTGAAGTTACCTCTTAGTATATTATATCTTCTGAAATTGGCAAGAGCAAACCAATAAGTGTAGGGTGATTTGTATTGTGTATTTTACATAAAAGATGAGGAAAACTGGAACTTTTATATTTATAAAGGCATATATTAACATTAAGGCCAAGGGCTCTATTCAATCCGTATCGCGGGAATTCAGCCTTACAGCGTGATTTAAATTTAAAGGCAATGTTCCTGCGTTAGTGGAGACTGCATTCACGGCAAACACTGCATATGTCGGCTCAATCGGAAATAACCTTTACAGTTCTATCGTGCAATCTGTAACGCTTCAGCGATATATTGAATAGAGCCCCTTAGTGTGTCGTAATGATGAAAATATAGGAACTATTAAAGACGTAGTTTGGTTTTCTGAATATTTCAGACTTGAGCTCAGGCTAGCTTATTAGTGTTGTTTTCTTAATTTGTGGCTTGTCTTTTAAATTAAACTTTTTCTTGCTAAAAATAAGTAATTGTTATGACTGTATCTCAATTAAGTTGTCATAGAGAAGGGACACACCAAGAAGATGAACGGCTAAAAGTAGTGGGCAGCGTTAGTGATCAACTGATGTATGGTGACCGGTGGCGATTCAAAATATTGAATCGTCAGGAAATGTACGGTACATATTCTAGTCAGAGGCAATAGGACAGCCACCCACTGCTTAAGTACTCGACTGATGTCTGTTGCTCTGGTTTCCTCTCTTATACACCATAGGGAAAACCTTGCTCTGTGGGGGAGTGATACAGCTGTGTGCTAAGACCAAGTGAAAGAATGAACACCAAACATAAATTATACACCATTCAATATCATACTTTTTTTTTTATTTCCATAAATTATGAAGGTAAAGAATGAGCACTGGAGCACGTCTCTGTCCTTAGCCTGCATATTTATCATTTTCTAACTTTCTTTAAAACATGATAGATGGTCATAAGGCAGTAAAATGAGTATAAAATATTGAAATATATAATTAACCAATAAGGCCCGAGGGGGTGTGGCATATGGCCAATATACCACGGCTAAGGGCTGTTCTTAGGCGCAAGGCAGAGTGCCTAGATACAGCCCTTAGCAGTGGTATATTAGCCATATGCCACAAATCCCAGAGGTGCCTTATTGCTATTATAAACAGGTTACCAACGTAATTAGAACAGTAAACAAATAGTTTTGCGTCATACCCATGGTATATTGTCTCGTATACCACGACTTCCAGCCAATCAGCATCCAGGGCTCAAACAACACTGTTTGTAATTAAAGTGACAAGTAGTTCAGACACACACAATTGCTGATATTCTCATAATTTGGGGATCAAATGCAGAATCTGGTCATAAAAACATGTATTTATAAGTTTCACATAATACTGACTGACAGGACTGTGCTCTGACCTGTTTACACCTTTCATATGGGTCCATTTGGTATCAATATGGCTTCAGACTTCCTTACCTTTCCTCCAATATCTCCAAGGAATGTTACAAGTCAATTAATCAAAGTCATGATTACAGAAATATGAAGAGGTGGAGATAAAAATGGAAATTAAACCGAAATGAACACCTGTTTAGACATTGAGGCATCTGAAAACATTATTGAAGTCAGTGAAGTGAACATCATCTTGCAAAAGGTTCTGGCCTGGATCCCACTCATCGCTACAAAAGCTGAATATTCTGAGACAAACATACCTACTTAAAATATAAATGTATGTGGAAACCACCCCTCACACTGCATTCCTAAACTAATTTTCTAAACTATCAACAAGAAACATACTGAAAACAAGCACATGAAAAGCAAACCAATAAAGTGCTAATTTAAAAAACTGCATTGAAACAACTCATAAATACAGTATATAAAGTGTTATGACATGGCCCTGTCTGTCAATGAATAGGATGGTATGGACAGATATATTTATGAATAGAACAGAGAATGAAAAGCATCCATGAGTAATAACTGTGTATCCTGATTCTGAGGTAAGTAGAAAACGGATTCATGAGCTGGTATCTTCAGAGAAGGAACCCTGGCTGGCTTTGATGCCAGTGGGTAGGAAAAATAAATCATATTCATCTCCCCCCTCTCTCATTCCATTCAGCACAGCAGACAGCAGTCATAGTTAAAATGGGCTAGCATACACGGCATGGGCAGTCAGTCACTCAGTCCAGCATGTGGTGTTGTCAGTTATAAACAAAGTCTAGTTAGTGTTGCCGTTCTATAACTCAGTCCAGTGGCTGGGGGTCAGCGATGGGCATGGTGTGCAGCACCTCATCCAGTAGCTGCAGGGCCCGGTGGAGATGGATCTCAATCCAGCACGGTGTCTCCTTGATGCTCTGCCGGGGGTAGTCAGGCCCCCAGCCCTTCACAAAGCTCATCCTCAGGATACACAGCCTGCGCAGGTCGTCCACTCCTATACCTGCAGCCGCAGACAAACCTGAAGGGAGGGGGTTAAAAACACTCAGTAGTTAGGGGGAAGTACTACATATTTGATAGAATGACTCACTCAGTGATTCACTACCTATATAGAGTTACACATCTAAGGCAGTGCACACATTTTCCCATTTCTGTAATTTCCTGAGATGCTCTGAGACAAGACAGATGGATATATTGCTTGGCAGACAGGTTAAAGGATGAATAGTGTGAAAAGAGAGACTTACTGATGGCGGGGGCGATGCCTCCCACAGAGCCAGGCCCGGGGATGTTTCCAGCCACTGCTGCTGCCTGTGCTGCAGCAGCCGCCTGGGCTGTGGCTGCCTGCTGCTGCATCTGCCTGTGGCACTGGCGCAGGTCAAACACCTGCACAGCACACAGAGAGAACAGGGAGGGTTAGGGACTACACACAATGGGGCAGAGGGGATAGGGGTTCAACTAGAGATGGGCAATTGAAATAATTTCACTATTCAAATAATATATCATGAAATGTGATATCCGGATAGTCTAAATACATGTTGTTGTTTTTTTGTTGCACTTATTACTGCGCGAGGGAGAGACTGTGGCGCTCTTTTGCTGCAGCAGGGGGAGGGTCCGGTGTGTTTGGGACGCAGGAGGGCAGGGCAAGCAGAGAGATGTAGAACGTATCGAAGCCGACTCACGCTAGTTAGAAAACTTCTAGCTACCATAGGGTTATTTATCATCCCATCTGATAGTGCTGGTCTTGACTGCATTGATTACAGCAGTGTTTCCCAATTCTGGTCCTCCAGTACCCCCAACAGCACACATTTTTGTTGTAGCCCCGGACAAAAAACACTTGATTCAATTAATCGAGGGCTTGATAATTAGTTGAATCAGGTGTGCTGTTGCCAAGAGTTTACAAAGCTGTCATCAAGGCAAAGGGTGGCTATTTGAAGAATCTCAAATATAAAATATATTTTGATTTGGTTCAACACTTTTTTGGTTACTACATGATTCCATATGTGTTATTTCATAGTTTTGATGTCTTCACTATTATTCTACAATGTAGAAAATAGTCAAAATAAAGAAAGACCCTTGAATGAGTAGTTGTTCTAAAACTTTTGACCGGTAGTGTAAGTAAGCTACTGAGAGTGTGCATGTCATAAGAACTACATTCACACATTTGTTGTTTATTACATTATTACATCAAATATCATGATATATCCTTCACAGGTTCTTGGTCTCTATACCATCTACAGTGCCTTCAGAAAGTATTCATACCCCTTGACTTTTTCCATATTTTGTTGTGTTACAAAGTAGGATTAAAATGGATTTAATTGTCATTTTTTGTTAACGATTTACATAAAATACTCTAATGTCACATGGATCATTTAATTTAGCTTTTTAACTGTTCAAATACTTTTTAGCTGTATATCGAATACTAAAGTCCGTTCAGATATTTGAATAACTGTGCTCATCCCTAGGTTCAACGGTCTAAAACGTAAGGATTTTAACCTGTTTTGAGAACAATCAACCTTCCCAAGCAGTCATATAACCACTGAGACGCATGTAAATAATAAAGATGAAAAACATTCCTTGTTTATTTAGGGGTGCCATTCCTCAGCAGTGAGTCTGTGGGCTGTGATATCAAATCAAATCTATTTGTCATATGCACAGAATACACATGGTGTGTACACAGTCCAATGACATGTTTACTTGCAGGTACACCTCTCAACTACGCAACAAAAATAAGAATAGAAGTAATTCAAATAATAATAATAATAATAAAAATAGTACAAAATAAAAGCTCAATGGAATACAATAAAAATATAATATCTCACCTTGATGTAGGCGCTGGGGTAGATCTTGTGCACTGCGTCTCCAGGGGCACGTCCTGCCTCCCTGTCCAGGTAATAACTCTGCACAAACACTGCATGATCGCTAAGGCAACGCACCCACACGTCCCCTTCCCCTTTACACTCCAGCTGCACCCCTTTACCAATGTGAAGTCTATAGAGCCAGGAAGAAAGCAGGGAAGAAGAGAAGCAAACAGAGAAACCGTTTTTTAAATATGCCTAAAAAAATACTTTATATTGCTATGGTACACTAATACTCTTCCAAAAATATGAATGATATAAAACTGAAGGGCGTGACAGGTACTCTGCTTAGCAATTTAATTTAGCAAAGACATTAAATTGTTCCTTTTTCAATTTTATATGGTAGAGTACCTGGCTCTCTCGATGGCCTCTGTCCTGTGGACGTTGCTGAGCTGACCCAGGCAGAAGCGGTCCCCTCCTGAGGGATCCACGTACCCGTCCACCGTAACAGTGGGGCAGCTGGCCGGAACCTTGAACGTCTCCCCAACCTGAACATCCATCTCAAAGTAGGCAATGGAGCACCAGTAGTCAGGGGCTGGAACATAACGAAAGCATCACCATCAATTCACATGTTCTTGGTCTCTATACCATCTACAGTGCCTTCAGAAAGTATTCATACCCCTTGACTTTTTCCATATTTTGTTGTGTTACAAAGTAGGATTAAAATGGATTTCATTGTCATTTTTTGTCAACGATTAACATAAAATAGTCTAATGTCAAAGTGGAAAATAAAACACTTAATCTTGATTAGATAAGTATTCAACCCCCTGAGTCAATACATGTTAGAATCACCTTTGGCAGCTGTAAGTATTTCTGGGTAAATCTCTAAGAGCTTTGCACATCTGGATTGTACAATATTTGCCCATTATTCTTCAAAAAATTCTTCAAGCTCTATCAAGTTGGTTGTTGATCATTGCTAGACAGCCATTTTCAAGTCTTGCCATAGATTTTCAAGACGATTTAAGTCAAAATTGTAACTAGGCTAGGAACATTCAATGTCGTCTTTGTAAGCAACAGTGTATATTTGGCCTTGAGTTTTAAGTAATTGTCCTGCTGAAAGGTGAATTTGTCTCCCAGTGTTTGTTGGAAAGTTTTCCTCTAGGATTTTGCCTGTGCTTAGCTCTATTACGTTTATTTTTATCCTAAAAAACTCCCTAGTCCTTGCCGATGACAAGCATACCCATAACATGATGCAGCCACCACCATACTTGAACATTTGAAGAGTGGTACTAAGTGATGTGTTGTGTTTGCCCCAAATATGACGCTTTGTATTCAGGACAAATAGTTAATTTCTTTGCCACATTTTTTGCAGTATTACTTTAGTGCCTTATCGCAAACAGGATGCATGTTTTGGAATATTTTGTATTATGTACAGGCTTCCTTCTTTTCACTCTGTCATTTGTTAGTATTGTGAAATAACTACAATGTTGTTGATCCATCCTCAGTAATCTCCTATCACAGCCACTGTTGGCCTCATGGTGAAATCCTTGAGCGGTTTCCTTCCTCTCCGGCAACTGAGTTAGGAAGGGCACTTGTATCTTTGTATTAACTAGGTTTATCGATACACCATACAAAATGTAATTAATAACTGCACCGTGCTCAAAGGGATATTCAATGTCTGCTTCTTTTTTTCCATCTACCAATAGTTGCCCTTCTTTGCAAATCATTGGAAAACCTCCCTGGTCTTTGTGGTTGTGCTTGAAATTCACTGCTCGACCTTACAGATAATTGTATGTATGGGGTACAGAGATTAGGTAGTCATGAAAAAATTATGTTAAACAATTCTGCACACAGAGTGAGTCCATGCAATTTATTATGTGACTTGTTATGCACATTTGTACTCCTGAACTTATTTAGGCTTGCCATAACGAAGGGGTTGAATACTTATTGACTCAAGACATTTCAGCTTTTCATTTTTAGTTAATTTGTTTAAAAAAATCTAAAAACATAATTCCACTTTGACATTATGGGATAGTGTGTAGGCCAGTGACCAACAATCAAAATGTTATCAATTTTAAATGTAGGCTGTAACACAACAAAATGTGGAATAAGGGATGTGAATACTTTCTGAAGGCACTGTATTTCACACCTCATACCGGATCAGATGGGGACACATACTGTACATACAGAACTTACTCTCTGAGTAACCTTGCACACAGACTCACCAGGGTGATTGGAGATGGGGGGCTGGAATGCAATCTCATTGTGTGAGAGCCCTGGAAGAGAATGCCAGGTAAATAAATTAACAATCCAGAGAATGGTGCTGTTTGTACTGCTCGTGCTAAATGAGCAAAAAATGTATGTCAAATGGCATAACATTTACAATTTGACATTACAAGTGCAAACTCACATAATTTCTAGGAAATAGCCCTTTCATTTCACAAGACCATAATCTTTGTTACATGAATTAAATGTTAGGTTGCTGCTTTGGGGGAGATAACATATGTTAGGCTCAGATGTTTGCAGCACCACAAGCTGTATACCCAGAGAGGGGGACAACACGGCCACTCACAGTAGTGTGGGGTGTTGGGCATGGGTTGGTGGTGCTGCAGGTGCCCATTCTGGTGGTGAGGCACTGAGGGGGGGAAGTTCCCATTTCTCGGCCAGCTTGAGGTGGCACCTGAAAGCAGAACAGTCCCCCGTTGCATCAGATCATCAATATAGCAAGAAAATACCTAGCTTTGAACTAAACACAACTCACAATCACATTCGACACATACATAGGCTACAGTCTCAAGGGTGAGAGGAATTATATAACTGACCAAGGAGGAATGAACCCGCTGGAGATGCAATGTGGTAATGCTGAAAAGCTTTTTTGAGAGAAGAAACATTTTGAGAACCAGGTTCTGAGAAGTTAATAGGGTTTCTGTGAAAAGCAGTAGGGAATTAATTTGAAGGCTGTTATGATATATGGAGGGCGGATGAATATGAGTGCTACCTGTAATGGTTGTTTGTAAATGCAGGTCATTTCTGTAATTGCTAGTAGCATAGGCAGTGCAAGTTATATTTAGGCTTATGAATGCAGGTGCCCACTCACTTTAAAGGTCAACTTCCCCTTAGAACCAACTTCTCTGGTTTTAAACAGCCTATGTGGCATCGATATGAGTCAGAAACACACATTTGTGTGTCAAAATTGACTACAAAGTGGAAATATGATCATTTTGGTCATAAAGTACAAAACTGAGTTTTGTAAGTGAGTTTGTCACGACTTACTGGAGGGTTGGGGGTATGGATTATGATCATGCCCACTTGCTCAGTGCCCACTAACACGAGAGAAGCAGCTGTACTGATTGTGCTCTATCAGCTGCATGCTCTATCCAATCATATGGCCAGAACCTCCAGACAGTGAGATGGACCTGGGCTGCGTTCAGTACATTTTTACGTTCTGGCACGTTCAATTGAACGGAAACGGTGCTGTACTGAACGACTAGTTGAAAATACGGGGAGGGGTTGGGTTGTGGAACGCTGTCAGCATGGCCACTTCCCTTTTAAATACGTCACTTATTGCTTCAAGCCACACCCACCAAACGGGAGCAAACGTACCTCTAAGTGTTCAAGAACGTTTGGGGGAAACGTGACATTCGGTACAAACCGTTCCGCAACGTAGAAAACGTTCAAGCGAACTGAACGCACCTCTGGCCCGGTTTCCCAAAAGCATATTTTGGCTAAGTTCATCATTAGAACCATAGTAGGAGCATCCATTAAATCTCTGAAGTGTTTCCCAAAACCATCGTAACTAAAGTTGCACTTGTTATTTATTGACTGCCTCAGACCACTCATAGAACAGCTAAGTGCGTCGTTAGATGCAGAAGATCTCCGCTAAACATAAAATCAAGATGTTTATCTGTTTGACTGTGACCGCTGATAACTTTAGAACAGGGTTGACTACAAATACAAAGTTGTCAAAGTCTTTACAGTTGTTACAAAAAAGTGAAGGATGAAAATATGCTTCAAATGAAAACCGAGATGACTGCATTAAATATAAATATGCTACATGGGCCTATATATTTCAATCAATTTCATTGTCAATCAATTGAGTTCTATTGTGCCAATAGGCTATGGTCTAATTTTTGCCTCAATATATTTGTTGGGTAGCCTTGCATAATAAGCCACCTTGATATTTGCACCCATAGGTGATCATTTCTTTCTAGGAACTAATCCGTCGTCAGTATTGTGAAGTAATTATAATGTTATGGTAAGATTTGAATGGAGAAAGCTGATCCGAGAGCAGTGATGGTTCTTTTTCTATCTTATAAGCATCTAACGATGCACTTAAAGAACGTTCTCTGTGTGGTGTTTTGGGAAATGCACGTTACATCTTCAGCCATTGTAGGAACGATGCATCGTTAAAACAAGTAATGCCCCATATACACATCGTGACGTATCGCGGAGTGCCTAGATACTGCCCTTAGCTGTGGTATATTGGCCATATACCACAAACCCCCGAGATGCCTTATTGCTATTATAAACTGGTTACCTACTTCATTAGAGCAGTAAAAATAAATGTTTTGTCATACCCGTGGTATGCGGTCTGATATACCACGGCTGTCAGCCAATCAGCATTCAGGGCTCAAACCACCCAGTTTATAATACGCTGTATCTCATCTTCACGGAGTCTTGCCCCGCTACTGAACGGACAAGTGTAGTGTTTATAAAGCAAGATGGAGTAGAGCTTGTCTCTCGTCAGACATCGCATTTATTTTGGGAGATGGCAAAATATTTTTCAGGTGATAATAAAACATGTTTTGTTTAGTTACTTTTTCCCTCAACTTGTTTCTCTAACTTTATAGCAAGTCAAGCTAGCTTGCTAGCTAGCTAAATGCTAGGTTGAAGATACTACTGTAGCTAGTGATCTCCACCTAATAATTGTATTAAAAAACAAACGTCATTACCATCACAATAAACTTAAACGGGAGCAGCCAATGTGTATTATTTAACATTACTATTATAATAGTACTCACTTATAGCAATGGGTAATTGTTTACAAGTTGCTAGCCATCACCGAAAACCACATATTTTCATCTTCTGTGGTTTGGTAACTTCCTGTTCTTCGAAGGATGCGGCGTCCGTCTCACAACGGAGCCTTCAACCACAAGGGTTGTTGCGATTCCACTCCGTTGTGGACGTCCCGATTGAAATGCATGACATCTGGCGCAACGTAATGGAGTGCTTATTGGTAATGTGAATGATGCTTAAGCCTAAATTCCCTCGCTATCGGCAAACCCGGGCCCTGCTCATTAAGCAGTGCCTCAGACTTGTTTACGTAAGACAACACGTCGCCAATGTTATGTTGAAATAACCCATTATGGAGTGGCCACTTGCTGATGTGTTTGACAGTGTCAATCACTCGAGTCTGCCACTTTTTGGAGCAAAATGAGAATTGAGACGATCAGAGCGCACTTGTAACCCAACTGCAACGTGTCAATATTCCAAGCACACACGTTGCCACTCACCAGTGATTTGATAAGCTGATTGTGGCCTGGCTGCTCAATGTGCCTGCTAGCTAGCTTCATTGACAGTGCATTTAAAGTTTGACATGATTTAGTGCTATTCTTCATTGACTCAACATCAGCAAGACAAAGGAAGTGATCAAGCACGCCCCTATCCACATCGACAGGCTGTAGTGGAGCAGGTCGAGATCTTCAAGTTCCTCTGTGTCCACATCACTAAGGAATTAACATGGTCCACACACACCAACACAGTCATGAAGAACGCACGACAACGCTGAAAAGATTTGGCATGGGCCCTCAGATCCTCAAAAAGTTACACAGCTGCACCATTGAGAGCATCTTGACTGGCTGCATCATGTATGGCAACTGCTTGGCATCCGACCGCAAAGCACTACAGAGGGTAGTGCGTTTGGCCCAGTACACCACTGGGGCCAAGCTCCCTGCCATCCAGGACCTCTATACCAGGCGGTGTCAGATAAAGACCCTAAAAATTGTCAAAGACTCCAGCCACCCAAGTCAGAGACTGTTCTCTCTGCTACCGCACGGTAAGCAGTACCGATGCAGCAAGTCTGGAACCAACAGGACCCTGAACAGCTTCTACCCACAAGCCATAAGACTACTAAATAGTTAACCAAATAGGACTATCAGCATTGACCCTCTTTACACCAACTCTTGACTCATGACATACGCTGCTGCTGCTACTGTTTATCATCTATCCTGTTGCCTAGACTAAGGAGCTTTACCCACTTTACCCCTACCTATAGGTACAGTACATACAGTATCTACCTCAATTACCTTGTACCCCTGCACATTGACTCAGTATTGGTACCCCATGTAAAATCTAATCAAAATCTAATTTTATTGGTCACGTACACATATTTAGCAGATGTTATTGCGGTTGTAGCGAAATGCTTGTGTTCCTAGCTCCAACAATGCAGTAGTATCTAACAATTCACAACAATACACACAAATCTCAAAGTAAAAGAATGGAATTAAGAAATATATCAATATTAGGACGAGCAATGTGGCATTGACTAGAATACAGTATGTACAGTGGGGAGAACAAGTATTTGATACACTGCCGATTTTGCAGGTTTTCCTACTTACAAAGCATGTAGAGGTCTGTAATTGTTATCATAGGTACACTTCAACTGTGAGAGACGGAATCTAAAACAAAAATCCAGAAAATCACATTGTATGATTTTTAAGTAATTAATTTGCATTTTATTGCATGACATAAGTATTTGATCACCTACCAACCAGTAAGAATTCCGGCTCTCACAGACCTGTTAGTTTTTCTTTAAGAAGCCCTCCTGTTCTCCACTCATTACCTGTATTAACTGCACCTGTTTGAACTCATTACCTGTATAAAAAGACATGTCCACACACTCAATCAAACAGACTCCAACCTCTCCACAATGGCCAAGACCAGAGAGCTGTGTAAGGACATCAGGGATAAAATTGTAGACCTGCACAAGGCTGGGATGGGCTACAGGACAATAGGCAAGCAGCTTGGTGAGAAGGCAACAACTGTTGGCGCAATTATTAGAAAATGGAAGAAGTTCAAGATGACAGTCAATCACCCTCGGTCTGGGGCTCCATGCAAGATCTCACCTCGTGGGGCATCAATGATCATGAGGAAGGTGAGGGATCAGCCCAGAACTACACGGCAGGACCTTGTCAATGACCTGAAGAAAGCTGGGACCACAGTCTCAAAGAAAACCATTAGTAACACACTACGCCGTCATGGATTAAAATCCTGCAGCGCACGCAAGGTACCCCTGCTCAAGCCAGCGCATGTCCAGGCCCGTCTGAAGTTTGCCAATGACCATCTGGATGATCCAGAGGAGGAATGGGAGAAGGTCATGTGGTCTGATGAGACAAAAATAGAGCTTTTTGGTCTAAACTCCACTCGCCGTGTTTGGAGGAAGAAGAAGGATGAGTACAACCCCAAGAACACCATCCCAACCGTGAAGCATGGAGGTGGAAACATCATTCTTTGGGGATGCTTTTCTGCAAAGGGGACAGGACGACTGCACCGTATTGAGGGGAGGATGGATGGGGCCATGTATCGCGAGATCTTGGCCAACAACCTCCTTCCCTCAGTTAGCGCATTGAAGATGGGTCGTGGCTGGGTCTTCCAGCATGACAACGACCCGAAACACACAGCCAGGGCAACTAAGGAGTGGCTCCGTAAGAAGCATCTCAAGGACCTGGAGTGGCCTAGCCAGTCTCCAGACCTGAACCCAATAGAAAATCTTTGGAGGGAGCTGAAAGTCCGTATTGCCCAGTGACAGCCCCAAAACCTGAAGGATCTGGAGAAGGTCTGTATGGAGAAGTGGGCCAAAATCCCTGCTGCAGTGTGTGCAAACCTGGTCAAGACCTACAGGAAACGTATGATCTCTGTAATTGCAAACAAAGGTTTCTGTACCAAATATTAAGTTCTGCTTTTCTGATGTATCAAATACTTATGTCATGCAATAAAATGCAAATTAATTACTTAAAAATCATACAATGTGATTTTCTGGATTTCTGTTTTAGATTCCGTCTCTCACAGTTGAAGTGTACCTATGATAAAAAATTACAGACCTCTACATGCTTTGTAAGTAGGAAAACCTGCAAAATCGGCAGTGTATCAAATACTTGTTCTACCCACTGTATATAGCAAAGTTATCGTTACTCATTGTTTATTTATTCTTTCTGTTATAATTTTTCTATATTTTTCTCTCTGCATTGTTGGGAAGGGTCCGTAAGGAAGCATTTCAATGTTAGTCTACAGCTGTTGTTTACGAAGCATGTGACAAATACAATTTTATTTGATAGTTGGAACTTAGCTAGCTAGCTAGCTAGCAAGTGACTTTGGGCACTGATAAACAACGTGTAGCTTGTGATTTACTTACGATAGTTTGACAGCTTGCAGATTAAGTTGTAGACATGTTATTGTTCTCAGAAATCAGTCCTGAGCGAGCAGCCAGACCTTCGACTTGATAGACTGTATGCAGTGCACTGACTCGATTTTCCATGCACCTTTTTTAACTTGAGAAATACTGCACCAGACCACCTTAGCTAGATGTAAAATTGTGTGACTAAGACAACCTAAATGAATTACAGATTTCTTGATTTATCCTATATTAATTCTGACTATTTTGAGGAAGTGACTATTTTGAGGAAATGGCTATGTTGTTGCTATGGTGACTCAGGATGTACAAACAACAGCATTTCTTAACTAGCAATCTTCAAAACAAGGCCAAATCAGGAAGTGCAGTGGTGTTTCACTGGGTTGGGTTCAATTCTATTTAAATTCAGTCAATTCAGGAAGCAAATTGAATTTACCCCAACCCTGGTATTGTATTAAAATGTGGAGGGCTGAGTGTGGGTGCTTACTGTGATGGTATGTGGAGCTCTGTGCCAGGGGGAAGCCGTTCTGCTGTGAGCTCTGTCCCTGTGCTGGGCCTGGGCCTGGCCCTGAGGATAGCTGCCGCAGCCCTTCACTGCTATGGCTCCCTGACAGAAGGCTACTGGACTGGGCTACAGGGACAGAAGCAGGACGGGCAAGAGTGGGTGGGTATGGAAAACATACAAGCACACACACACACACCCAGACACAAACACACATACACCACGATACAGACACACAAACTTGGGGTATGAGGGAGCCACTGTGTCCTGCATTTATGTCAGGAGCGTATTCACCACAAAATGAAACTTTACATTTAAGGGGAGTAATGAACTACATGACATGGGAGGGTTAAACACAACACAGTGTCTCACTTGAAGCTCCAGCAGCGAGGCTGGAGAAGGCAGAGGTGGAGGCTGAGCTGCTGCCCTCAGGGGGAGGGAGCAGGGCCGGGCTGCTGAACGACTCCTGGGGACCCCCTGGTCTGGATGGTTGGTGCTGGATGGTCTGATGGTGGCCCTCCGCACCAGAGTGAGATGGCTGGTTCTCAAATTCATACTCATCTTTGACCATGAGTGTGCCTGGTAGGGCAGGTTGGGTGAGAGGGTCAAGGTTTTGGGGAACTTCACTTTAATCCTCCATTGTGAACAGCAAATTACTAGTACAGAGCGAGAGCCTCCCTTACCTGAGCTTGAAAGAGTCAGTCCTGAAAGGTCTGTGAAGAGAAGTAGAAGGACACATGAGATCCAACTTAGAATTCAAAGGAAAAGTCAAGAGGGCCTAAACTACAGTATTCAAGAAAATAAAACCCACTCACCAATCCCTGGTGATACCACCCTCTCGTAGTGGTACGGGTTAACACACACATTGTCAGCTTTGAGGTCAAAAGCAAACTGGCAGTATTTCACATGCTTCAGTTCATTCTTGTGCAGGTCAGGCCACCGCCACAGTCTGGCATAGATCACATGGGGGAAGCCTTTACGCCCCGCAACCTGAGAGCACAGATGAGAAGACGAGAGTTATGAACAGTACAGCAGTCATCTGAAATCAGAGTGTTCCTGAAAGAAAAAAAGAGTTCAGCCTGTAATGCGAGTGGAATATCTCCTATCTATCAGCAAGGTGGAATTCATTAGGCACCAAAGGAACTGAAACAGGGAGGGACTACCAGTTCTTGTCCAATAAGAAATGCTCTTTTTCGTTTTCTGTTGCAAAATGTTTTACTACAGGGTGCCCTAATGAATGACCAAGCTATTACCTGCAGGCGTCCATCCAGGGTGCGCTGTATGGTGACACACTTGCTGGGGTGAGCTCCGTTAGTGGTGATGGCTGTGATTAAAGAATCTAGCTCATCTTTCTTCTCCTTCAGTTTCTTAACGAGGCTCTCAATGGCTCGCTTGGCGAAGGTCTCGCTCTCTCCACCCTGTCTGTGGCACATCAGGCTGTGCACGATGCTCAGACAAGCGTCGTTGCTTGTGGGGGTGTTTGTGATCGACATCTTGCTCACTGTTCCACAGTCTCTATTACTTGGAGTTCAATCTTATGGAGGCTTCCAGTTTAGTCCTCACTCTAGATCAATGATGAGTGAAAAACACATTTTCTGAAGCCTTTTGCCAGGGTGAGAATGGAATGTGTCCCGTTCACTCTACAGAAGGTGGGGTGTCCAGGACAGACTGCAGTGAGGGAGACAGAAAATAACTATGTTAGAGCACTCCCGTACTATCAGTGCACAGAAGCATTGACTGACAGCAAATTAATGATGCCATCATGTTTACTAGCAAACGTTGGCACAACAAACTTCACTAGCTAGCTACTTTTCTACACAATCTTGGCTAATTAGTTACAAAAACACAAATATTACTTACAAAAGCTAACTATTTTGGCATAAAATGCCTCAAATCGTGTCTGAGACTAACGTTAGCTAATGCAAATACCCAGCTAGCTAGCTAAATAGCTAAGGTTAACATTTACATTTGTGATAGTAAACTAGCTAGCTAGTAGGCTGGCTAGCTTACAAATCCAAAGATTATGTGGGTAAATTGTAGCTAATAGTCAGTGTAGCTAAATAAATAAATAAAAAAAGTAATACTTTCTCGTAGCAAACCGAAAATGTTATCGTTGAGCTAGTTAGCTTGCTAACCGACAACAAAACCAGTGTTCTTTGAATCGAAATTCGAGTCAATATTTGATTATCTTCTGATCATGATGCGACTGTCTTTGATGTTTTTCAATTGTGCCAGTGGTTAAACAAAACAAACATGGTCGCAATATACTGGTAAACAATGCTAAAGTGCTAGCTATGAAAATAAACAACTCCCTCTCTCCCTGCAACGCCCTCGCGACTCCAGTGCAATGAGTACATTGCTCCAGTGCTACTCATGTCAGCAGGGGGAGCATGTTCTGTGAGTCAGCGTTGCTCGAGCGCAGAGAGGCTGGTCGGCTTAGAGTTGGCTCTAGGGCTGTAGCTCAATTGGTAGAGCATGGCGCTTGTAACGCCAGGGTAGTGGGTTCGATCCCCGGGACTACCCATACGTTAAAATGTATGCGCACATGACTATAAGTCGCTTTGGATAAAAGCGTCTGCTAAGTGGCTTATTATTATAAAGTCAGCTTTTATTTCTTATCGGTATGTGTTCATTCCGTTTTCCATTCATGACAAACAAATGTCATTTATAAAATGTCAATGTCATTTTCACTTGCAGCTGTCCTACAAACTCATGTAGAAGTTTTAGAAGTCCCATGAGGTCTGAAAAACCAAGATGTGCCTGCATGAGTCAATCTTTGCTCCTGATTTATAAACTGCAAATGTAATTCGTTTCCAAGTAAATGTACCATAGACCTACAGTACCAGTCAAAAGTTTGGACACACCTACTCATTCCAGAGTTTTTCTTTATTTTTACTATTTTCTACATTGTAGAATAATAGTGAAGACATCAAAACTATTAAATAACACATATGGAATCATGTAGTAACCAAAAAAGTGTTAAACAAATCAAAATATATGTTATATTTGAGATTCTTCAAAGTAGCCACCCCTTGCCTTGATGACAGCTTTGCACACTCTTGGCATTCTCTCAACCAGCTTCATGAGGTTGTCACCTGGAATGCGTTTCAATTAACAGGTGTGCCTTGTTAAAAGTTAATTTGTGGAATTTCTTTCCTTCTTAATGCGTTTCAGCCATTCAGTTGTGTTGTGACAAGATAGGGGTGGTATACAGAAGATAGCCAAGTCCATATTATGGCAAGAACAGCTCAAATAAGCAAAGAGAAACGACAGTCCAACATTACTTAAAGACATGAAGGTCAGTCAATACTGAACATTTCAAGAACTTTGAAAGTTTCTTCAAGTGCAGTCGCAAAAACCATCAAGTGCTATGATGAAACTGGCTCTCATGAGGACCGCCACAGGAAAGGAAGACCCAGAGTTACCTCTGATGCAGAGGATAAGTTCATTAGAGTTACCAGCCTCAGATTGCAGCCCAAATCAATGCTTCACAGAGTTCAAGTAACAGACACATCTCAACATCAACTGTTCAGAGGAGACTGCATGAATCAGGCCTTCATGGTCAAATTGCTGCAAAGAAACCACTACTAAAGGACACCAATAATAAGAAGAGACTTGCTTGGGCCAAGAAACACAAGCAATGGAAATATGTCCTTTGGTCTGATGAGTCCAAATTTGAGATTTTTGGTTCCAACCACTGTGTCTTTGTGAGATGCAGAGAAGGTGAACGGATGATCTCCACATGTGTGGTTCCCACCGTGAAGCATGGAGGAAGAGGTGTGATGGTGTGGGGGTGCTTTGCTGGTGACACTGTGGGTGATTTATTTAGAATTCAAGGCACACTTAACCAGCATGGCTACCACAGCATTCTGCAGCGATACGCCACCCCATCTGGTTTGCGCTTAGTGGGACTATCATTTGTTTTTCAACAGGACAATGACCCAAAACACACCTCCAGGCTGTGTAAGGGATATTTGACCAAGGAGAGTGATGGAGTGCTGCATCAGATGAACTGGCCTCCACAATAACCCAGTGGTGTAGTGGTCCCTGGAGAAGTGGGTATACTCTCAGTATTCACCTTTTTTTTTTTTAAGTAGTCCAGAAAAAAGCCCTGTTTTAGAAACAGTGACATGTAAGACTATGATTTAGTTTACCCAAAAATATGTAATTTCTACTTGCACACTATTATAAAATGATCATGACTTGATTAGGAGCAGTTTGTAGTTACTACTGGTCACAAGAGCAGCCTGGATGAATGTAAAATGTATTTATCATGAGGCAAACAGGAAATGGTGTTTCGATTATTTTTTGCACATTTATTTAAATAAAATACTTCAAATCTGAAGGTGACAATGCATCCTTGTTCATATTGCTATATGCTTTGTTTTGAACATGTTCATTTACCGGTAAATCATTCAACAAAATATGTTACAACAATATTTAGTTAACAATTAACAAAAATATATGCATTAACAACACATCAACAGTGATATACTCTCTCAACCCAGCACTGGGTTTCTGACCTTTGCTCATACTACAGTATATTCCAGACAAATTTGCTTTCTGCAGGAGCTTTCACACTGCACTGTCTAGAACGCACCGAAGAGGCAGCACGATGGCTCTTCAACCAGGTCCTTGTATATTTTCTAGGATCAAACTTGGAAGTTGGTGGGCCGTTGATATTAATCATCATCAAGTTTGATATGTTTGAGATCAGAAGGACAGCCCTCTTGTCTGAGCTTATATTGTTCATAAGGCTAAAATTCCTCTCACACTCTGCTGTACCGACAGGGAATGTTTTCATACAGTTCATAAGTGGTTTTAGGTCCTTGGGCTCACTACTGGGCTCTTCCAGTAGGTCCCGCATCCCATTCAGTGCTTGGTCTGTGCACAAGTTAAATCGCTTGCACAGTCGCTTAACTTGTTCTTCACCATGGCGGATGCTGGGCTTTGATGGCCACTTACTCTGATCAAGGATGCTGAGGTCCATGATGGTCTCATCTTCAAAAGACAAGCGTTTCTCCAGATTGTTCACAAGGCTTTGTAAGAACTGGCCTGGATTGATAGACTTCAGCTTTGCATTTGTTTTCAGGGCTATAGACCGATACTCCCCAGTCTGTTTTGCTTCTAAAGCCTCACTATATTTCTCACCTGGACTCTCTTTGAATGACTGGATCACTCTGATTGAGCGTTTCAGCAGATGCTCTGCTCTGAGGAGCGTTATAGAACGAGACTGAAGCTCCTGTGACAGGAGACTTAGTTCATGGAGAGTGTCGTACATGAGGCCAAGGTCACAAATGAATTCTGGACTTTGAACACGGTCTAACAAACCTCTGTACATCTGCCTCTCTTTGGTGGACCTCATCTCATCACTGCAAGCATTTTTAAAGTGCTGCACAAGAGCTCCCAGGGATGTCCAAACAGCACGAACAGTCCGAAAGCTACTGGCCACCCAGCGTACATCCAAGATTCTGCCAATGCGAAGAAGTTGTGAGCCTACTTCAGCTGCTGCATTAACAAGTTCACGTTCATTTTTGTTTGACACACTATACAGAGAGTATAGCTTCTGGATAAAAGTTTTAAAGTGATTGACAGAGTTTACCTCATCAACTGCATCTGACACAGCAAGTTCAAGTCTATGGTTCATGCAGTGCCATACAAAAAGCTTTGGGAATCTCAAAGTCAGTCTGGTTGCTACTCCTGACTTCTTTCCTAGCATGACACTGGCTCCATCAGATACAAATGTTACCCAGTTTTCATGAAGCCACTCTTCTGTAAAGCCAGCATTAGTTAAACAGGTGAGTAACGCCTGTAATATGCCATCTGCTCTCTGATTTTCCAGTTCAACAAGTTCCAGGAATATGAACTCAGGGCTTTCTTCTTGAATTGATGCTTTAATAGAAACTGTCATGACAGCTTTGTGACTTAAAGAAGATGCCTCGTCAATTAGGACAGCTAACTTACTGGATGATGCTATAATGCTACTGATGATTTTGCTCTGCATCTCACTAGCAACATGTTGTATTATTTGTGTTGCACTGTAACGTGAATGAAGTATTGAGCCCATTTTTACACCATTCAGTTCCTGCAGCTCAATGAGGCTCTCATGGTCAGAAAAGGGTCGGTTCTTTTTGGCCAGATGGTAGGCTGTTCGAAACACAGCTTCAGTTTCCTTCATGTAGGACTCAGTCATAGTCTCCACTGCATTCTCAATGGCAGCTTCTTTCTGTTGCTCTGCCACCTTCACAGCCTGAGTGTGGGCCTTGGACAACGCATGTTTCCTCACCTTATTTCTCAAGATTGACAAACTTGTTGTTCTACTTCCCTGGCCAGACACTTGAATTTCAAAGTTCATCCATTCTCTTGAGAGCGATACACCTTGTCCTTGCTCCTTGTCGATCCCAATGGAGTTCACACTGCTACAGACCAGACATCCTGCGAAGCATAAACAAACAATGTAACTACTCCTGTATCCACAGCTGTACGTGTGCAT